TGTCACACAGAAGATTTATCAGAAACATTGGGGTCAGAGTTCTAAGGTTCAGAAGCTCTGTGTGGTGTTGCTGTGTCAACTGAGTGCAAAATAAACTCCCATATCAGAAGTATATCTTCCCACCTCTGGACAGCAAACATTTCTTCCAAAGGGAAGTGGAGATCTGCCCCATAACGACCCAAATCAACATACTGTATATATTGTCAATATTATTTTACAATAAAGTTATCGCTTTGCACAGCTGTACATTTGTACTTGAACAGCAATTCTTCAACATGTATTTGTTCTGCCATGTTTACATACTTTAAAATGTTAATTGAACTTTTTTATTTGTTCATTGAAAAATTTAATGAAAGAAGATGCAAATTCAGTTGTGAATATCTTTCAGGTAATAAGGGTGTGTTGAGAGTTTAATGGAGTGAATGTCATTGGGCAGTTACGTTTAACCAATCAAAGGGGTCATCCACTTGGAACTTGTGTGTTTTATTTGAGTACATTCAAGTGGCAGGTGTTTTGTTTGAAATAACATATATCAGCATAAAATATAAAAAATTATTCATACTACAAATCTTACCAGACATTTAGTTTTTTCAAAAGATAACTACCTGAAAGATACAAGCAGAACTCTTCGACGAAGGGCCTTGGCTCAAAACGTCTAAGTTCTGCTTGTATTTGTCAGATACGGTTGTATCTCTCACAATCTGCAGTTATTTTCTCTCTACTTACACTGGCACAGACAGTTTGAGTTTTTTTCAAAACATTGTCCGGCCGCTGGACATATAGTCACTTCGATGATTATTACCACATTACAGAACTCTTTAAGACAACCTGCCCAAACCTGTCCCATTGTATATATCACAATGGTGCTGTAGCTCAGTAGCTGTGTCTATGAAACATGGCTGGCCAACAAAAGCCATCCTTTTCTATTCCGGTGTTTATATATAATTTATCATACAATACATAAACAAAAGTGCTTTATACTTACTCCCGAAACTGCATTATAAGAATAAAAAGCAATTTTCCCAGCTCCACCAAAATGACAACAGTTGTTGGATTATAAGTGTAATTATTGTCCTTATCCTTAGACGCCGTAATAAGTAGACCTACAGAACAGCAAAACGTACATTACAACAGCTCACGCACTTGATATACAGTAACTAACTTTCAGACAAAACAAAATATACCTTGATTTACAAACAGCGAAATATAGGTGATAAAAATAATAAGATGGAGTCTTGTAGGAAACAATTTGTTGGAGTCGCTCATGGTTAATAGGTATATTCGTAGTCTTCTAAACATCAAAAACCTTGTGTGTACAATGTACTTTGTAATAAGACAAGCACAAAAGAAGTTATTTCTTTTCAAATCTAAATTATTCAAGCACAAAAACTGTCCACATATAAACACAAATGTTCATCAAAGTTTCTAAACATCGATCGTTGACAGCATGCATGGCACGTCACCAGTCCAATAGTGCACGCTTGCTGACTCGGATTTATGTCGTTTACATTCGGTTAGTTTCGGAAAATTTGGTATCGTGCTCGGGAAGTGAGACTACGTTTTTGCCCGCGTTTTATAACTTCAGAACCCGTATTCTTACCTCCAGTCGAAATTCAAAGGCTATTCTAAAATTTAAATGGAACTTACAGTAATATAATATTCAAAAAAACTTTGTTGTAATAAAGTAACTTTGTTGTTACGTTTTATTAATTTCTTGCGAATGCCGAAGATTTAACCCTCGCCTGTTCGCAGGTTGCGTAACCTTGGCAACCGAAGATGCCATGACAGCAAAACAAGATGGACGACGAAAAAGAAGAGCAAGTTTTAAGAAAGTCGAGACATCCCGTTGTTTTTGTAAACCATGTCGATACTTATGTTGGAAAGAGTATAAGCAAGGTAAACTTGAAAAATCTCATCCTCATTTTGCCCTCTTTTGCGACAAGTAGTAGTTTTGAATGGTTTATATATACTGTTTATAATAAAAGGCCACCAAGCTCACAAGCTGATGTTTTTGTAATTTGGTTAAATATAATTTAGGTTTTCGCGGGTTCAATTGTTGGTGCAAACTCAGAGGCAGCTGACAATGAGTCACAGGCGAGTTATCAAACGCCAGGAGGAAAGAAAGATAATTATTATAAAGTCGTTGGTACAATATTTGATCCGGAGAAAAATGAAAAACCCGCCTGGGTTCAGGAAGGTTACAAGGTGTGCTTTATGTGTGTATTAAATTTTACCATACCTGATGAACGTTAATGAATGCCGAAGACAGTCCTGACTGGAAAGTTTGGAACTTTCACACCCAAAATTTTGAAAATTTAATAATAAATATATAGAAAGACTAGAAACATCAAAATTGGGTTGTTCCAGAAAAGACCCACACTCCCCCCACGGAGGAAATATCAGCTGTCTGGAGGGGGAGGGGGGGAAAATTAGTTTCTGATAATAGTAAGTGACAGTATGGAAAGTTTGTTTTGCGCAACCGAGATATCGGACGCACAATTTTGATACTTTCCATATATTTACTATTAAATTTTCAAAATCTCGGCCGCACAATAATTTCCAAACTAAGCGTATTATGACATCTCAATATAATGTTGTGCTCTCTTCATTGTTTAAGTATGCTAAAAAAGAAGAGTTACTCCAACACATCCTTCAAAGTGATATTATTATATATGACATCATCAGTCAACCTGAACAAGTAGATGAAGCTACATGGGCAGTATCAGGTGTGTAACAACAGAAAGCTTAGGCAAGCATCTTTGACAACACATATACCAACTGGAGGTCAACCAACCAAGTCTTACAATTGTAATTTTAAACAAGAACAGCTGTCGCCATCACTCGATCACCATCTATTACGGCTTGATTGCCTTCCAGTTAGCACCATCTGTGTTGTCAAGAACTTCAGTTACTTAAAATCTATAATTTATGTCAGTGCTAGTGTAGGTAGTGATGATAAGGTAGCTACGGGAAATTAGCAGCTTCCGACCAAGAGCCAACAAAGTTAGATTCTTATGTTTTTTAAATAAAGTTGTATCTTGCTCAATCTACAGCTGTCCTAAACAGAACAATACTTAGATTCCATTGTAGCACAATTAGCCATTCATTAAAAAGACCACCTCAACATTAGTAAGTGTACAAAGTTTGAAGACGTTTACACGAATACCCTTTGAATAATAAGCTTTTGAAAATCCCGATATTTACTATGAAATGTACGTACTGCAAATTTTTGTTTTGGGGGACACACGTTCCAAAAACAGTCTTTTAAAAATTAATCAGTAGTTTCACAATTTTCGAAAGCTTATTATTCGGAGGGTATTCATGTAAACGTCTTCAAACTTTGTATACTTACTAATTTTGAGGTGGTCTTTTTAGTGATTTGGTTCATTTCTTAATTTGGGCACTTTTTAACATAAATTTGTCCCCAGTCCACTCATCAACTTCGGAATGGCTAATTGTGTAAATTTGGCAATTGCTGACCCAGGGAGTGTGCACTTTCTTGAGCTTTCAAATACAAATATACCTGAAACTGCTGACTGGGCCTGAACAGAAAACTGAACACAAATATGCTATTCCTAAATTATGACCACAGTATAATTGTTCTTTAGCTCTTCATGCAGAAATTGAGAACTTTGTTTCTCCAAAGATTTTCATTTGTCTGTCATCAATAATGACCTGGGCAAGGACAAAACCACTTGATCCGGTAAGTGCATATACACTGTAATGTCACAATATTTAAGAATTAGATTTCCCTTGATGATTCTGAGTGATGCTGAAATGGTGGTAGCTAGCAGACTAAATCATTGATTGAATAGACCTTTCCCCTTTTAAGTGAAATTTTGATCTAGACAAGACAGTCTGGACATCAGTTTGATCATCTGATTATCAATTTCCCGTTATCAATTTCCCATTTGTAATGCAAAAGGACTGAAAAACGGCAAACTTCGCAAGGCTATATTATCCGCATTTTACAACATTTCGCAACGAAACTTCGGAATATTACTAATTTTGTGATGCTCTTTCAAGCTGTGATGAAATTTTTGTCCAGGCATATCTAGATCAAAATTGCACTCATTAGGGCAAAGGTCTATTGGGCCACCCAACTTTTCTTCCAAATACCCTTTCTCCCTCATAAGTAATAAATTAAAACAATGGAAAAGTGCCCAATCTCCATATTGCTTCCTACGTTCCTGTCAATTTACGAAATAATGTAGCTTTTCATAGCAAACAGGCAGCAACCACAGGCATCTCTTCACACAGGTATATGTACGCCTAGCGTACCTATTTTTTCGTATTACTGAAAAAAAGATATAAACTATTGGTTCAACATGAGTTTCAGACCTTCACTCAGATTACGTTACTAGGTAACTCATTATAAGTTAGAACAATTTCTTGGAAAAATGAATAAGTTCAGTTAAAATCTGGAATACTGCAATTTGCGTTTGAAGCGTGCAAAACGCTTTTGTTTACGTTATAAACGCAACGTTTCCGAGGGTTTTTACGTCCGTTGTCGAGTCGCGTCGGGTGTATCGGCTCGGTCTTGAAACGTAGCGTTTAAAACGCAAACAAACATGAAAAGTTCTGCACGCTTCAAGCTTTCATCAAGAACGCAAATGGCAGTATTGACCACAAACGCTTATCTGTACTGTTTATAATAAATTGTTGAAATGTGGTTTTGCTAAAAAGCAATTATTATAAATATATAAATATGATTTAGAAATTATAAACGTGTCTGTGCGTAGAAAATGCACCGCCCGGATTGAAGAAGTTTTTGAGAGCCACTGGACTTTTTGAATTTTTGGATCTTCTTTCCTCATTGCCAAAATTGATAAATTATGTTATTACGCGAGAATTTTGTTTCACGAGAAAACATTTCACGGGAAAAGTAACCGCAGGTTTTCATTTTGCGGGTTTTCCATCTGATTGGGAACACGCGTATAAATCTCGCTCTTCATTACCGCTGTCTTAGAATTGGAATCGAAGCAAATAACGCGTACGTTGCGTTAATTGTTATGATCTTTGTTATGGGTCTTAACCCATTAAGCGCCAGCACTTTCCCTTTGACGGGTAAAAGGAAATAAAGTAGGGCGCGTTAGGGCGTAATGCAACTTAATGGTTTAGCTAGACACATAGGCACATAGTCTGATCAATCACACTAGCGCTTTCCTTTGACGAGTAAAATCGCCTGGAGTAAGATAATAAGGTAGGGCACTTGGAAGTGGGACACTTTTTGTGTTTTGACTGTAAATACTTGCGAAGACATTTACCATGTCATAGTGATAGTGAGTTTGATAGTGAGTAAATGACGTCACAAGGCAGTTATAATTAGTTTGCACAAAAGGAGACGTTAGATATTGAGAAACAAAAGACGTCATGATTGTCAATTTCGAAACGATATTTCACGAAAACCAAAATTAACAAAGAACACTCACTAGACAATAAATCTGAAAATCTCTAACCACATATAACATCATGCATGTGGACATTTTTAACACTATACCTCAACTCCAGAATTTCTATTTAATAACTCTAAGATTGTAGACAGATCGAATCATTGGTCCTTATTGTTTTAGTTTGAAATAATGGCTTGCCATTCGTCGTTTCAAACCTGACCTTAATCACGGTACTAAGGCAACAAAGACTTCACAATATTTAACTAATTCGTTGTTATTATATGTATGTATATATCAAATTACTTTAATCTTCACCTATAAATATCCTCGTAATGTAACCTAGCGTCATTTTTGATGATGGCTAGAAACATAGTCGAAAGCTAGAAAATATTAAAATGTTCATATTCGGAGTTATACCGTTGTTTGTATTTTATAGCAGCAGTGGTGGATTTAGGGGGGGTGCGCACCCCCCCCCAGGCTCTGGTCAACAGGGGTGCATGGGCGGGGGGTGCAAAAATGACATTTATCCTAATTCTAACCAACTTATGTTAAGGAATTCAGTTGCGTATCACTAGTTGACAACACCGGAATAGCCAATATTAAATATTCTGAATTTTTAAATGTTTTGAGAATCTAAAAATTTTCCAGAATGTTTTCTCAGAATGCTGGAAATGCCATTTCAGAGACCCAAGTTTTAAAAATTTTCCGGGGGACTATGCCCCCAGACCACCCTAGAAATCTCGCGCCTTCGGCGCTCGTTTCGCCATTGGTTAGCACCCCCCCCCCAAAAAAAACTTTGCTGGATCCACCACTGTATAGCAGTAGTAACTTTATTTAAATGTAGGATAACCCATTCACCCACAAAGTTGGTATTCATATAGGGGTCCTGTGCAAGTTTGAATTTTATTTCCAGGAAGAACCAGATATTCCGTTCACAGAAGACGACTACCGCAGACGTCGCGCTCACCCAAACTTCAGACCTCACATCAGCACAGAAAAGCTTGTGATAAAACTGGGCAAAACTGCTAAGACCAAGCTGTCCACGTTCGTGGTAGCCAGTGGCTTATTGTACGGTGCAGGAGAAGAAATATTTCATTCGTTGTTCAAAGCTGCATGGCACGGAAATCAACCCGCCTTGCAGTGTTACGGTAATGGACAGAATATTGTCCCTATTATTCACGTCCATGATATGGCAAGTGCCTTGGTGAATATTGCTGATAATCCTCCCAAAGTGCGATACCTCATTGCGAAAGATGATTCACAGTCACCTTTAGATGAAATTGTTAAGGTAGGTCTGGTATATTGGTTTTGAACGATCTGTGGCCGACAGTGGTGTGACTTTACTTTTTTTGACCACCTGTTGGACATGAAAATTAGTTGCCCTGAATAAAATTCACTTGCCATCAGACAGTGGCCACTGGGGTACCTAGGTAGGGGGTATAAATTAAGGCGACAACATGTCGACCCGTTCTCCCACTGTTCTATATGGCTATGTTACAGTATACTGCCCAGTCTAGCTTTGGCCCACAAAAACAAAAATTGAATCAAGTACATGCACTATAAAAAATTTATCCGACAATGAAAACATAAACTTTTGCCAATGAAAACATAAAGATGCTCAGCTTTTTGTGGCAAGGCAACTTGCCCAATCGGGCAAGCCAGATACAACGTTTACTTGCCCGTCATGATATTCACTTGCCCCCCGGGTTACACTTCTGTGTGCCAGTCACAGATGAAGTAATTACAGATATGAATCTCTCGGCAAATTATGTCACACCGAATAAATGAACTTTAAAATTGTATTAATTCACTATTTTATTAAATTTTGATAATGCAGAGGAATAAAACTATACATATTATAGAAGTATTCATGTTTTTTTTTATGCGAGAGTTATGTTTTGAGGCATTTATATCATTCGCTGTTTTGTTATTTATACATGAGCATCTGAAATTCCCAGCAAGTGTATTTCACGATTTTAATAAGGAGTAGACAGGGAAAAAAACAAACTTTTGCTAAATAAAATGTTATATTAACACTTTTAATAAAAAGAAATCAATAAAAGTGATCGCTTACCGTTACTCTTGAAGAATTAATTCCAAAAATAGCCGTCGGTAGCGTAGATTTTTTAAAAAAAACAATTTTTCGTCTTTCGAACGGCGTTTTCCTATCACTTTCCTTATTAAATTTCAGAACGACACTTGCCAGCGCTCGCCGGAAGTGAGAATTCCGTGTGACACAAAACAATCAGCAATTTGACGGGAGATTCATATCTGTACTTACCTCATCTGTGGTGCCAGTGTTGGTAATGGCAATGATAAGAAAGCTTCGGATTGATAGGGATACAACGGATTGATAGGGATACAACTGCCTGAAAAATACAAGGAGAATTTCAGCTTTTCGAGCGAAGACCCTTCTTCCTGACGAAGAGCCTTCGCTCGAAACGTCGAAGTTGACTACTTGCATTTTCAGGTAGTTGCATCCTTTTCATCTGAAGCTTTTTAGGATATACAGGCCTTAAAATATCTTTTACAGGGCCGTCTGACAAAATGTCCGTTGACGTTGAGTTTGGGTCGGACATATGTCTGATGACCTTCAGTTCAGTTTTGAATCGGAAATAAGTCCGAATGACACAAATGAATATCAGCACAATGTATTAATTCTGAACGGTAAATGTTGTGAAGATATTAAATAATTTGTTTCTTTCATACTTATTTCCAAGCCAAAATTAACTTGTTTCCAGAACAGCACTATTAAAAGAGACTTCGAGAACTTCAGCTCGTTTTCCACTTCACCATTTCGCTCGCCGCCCCGCCCTCGACTACGTTAAAACATTTCCAGTTCACTTTTTATACAATAGTACTCTGATTTTCCATTTAACATACAAGCCTCTAGTCCTGGGCTATAGGTACATTTTGATTTACGATGGACAAAGCTACAGTTAGGTCGGACACAAATACACTTAGGTCGGACAAACAATAAACCTCAGTTTCACTTAGGTCGGACAGAATGTCCGGTGGTTTCCTCTCTACGTCGGACAATTTAACGAATGGGTCGAACAATGTCCGTGACCGACCGATATTTTAAGGCCTGGGATATAGGTGCGTGTTCTTAGAAGGAGGCTGGTATGCACACCTCATCCCCTCCCAAAGTGCAATATACTTCATTGAAATTATCAACTGAAGTAGGTCTAAGCAATTAGCCATTTCCCAAAGTCCTGGGTCTAGTCGCGCGAATCCCATGTTGGAGGGACAAGAAATATGGCAGCACACATTTAAATTAAATGTTTAATGTAAAAAGGAGATATTTCATTTTTGGTCGTCTAAAAAGTTGATATTTGATAGTAGATACTTCTACTCTTTCACATATTTGACGCCTGACACCATATATTTTGTACCTCCAAACGATCCCAGAATGCACTGTGATTTTTTTTTGGGGGGAAGGCTAATTGGAAAGTAGGCAACAAAAAAAAAGCTAATTGGAAAGTAGGCAACATGTGTTGCTATTCTAAGCAACACATGGTTTACGTGATGAACAACCCCGTCCCATGACTATATTGTTCGGTTGATATTTGTGATCCAGCCACAATCACCGTTGGATTAAATTGGTATGTTGAAAACACACGTCATTTTGGGTGCCCATCCCTCCAAATAAGTATAAGTATGATGTGGTGAGATGTGCACATATCTTGTTATACGAAAGCTACAACTACCTAAAGAATACAAACAGAACTTCGACGTTAGTGGCCTTCAACTCAAAACGTCGACCATCTCCTTGTATTGGCACTACGGCCACTACTTACACTGGCACCGTTCAAGGTTACATCTCTTGTTATAGGCTGTCAGTCGTATCCTGGGCAATGGAAAAGTTCAACATGTTTCCAAAGAAGAAGCATTACTTATTAAAGATCTTCAGGTGCGTCAATAATTTTATACAAGATACTACAGCTGTTCGTATTATTGGTGGTGAACTGGTCAGAGCAAGCGTCTTTCACCTCCGTGATCGTGGGTTTCATTCTCGCTGCGGACTCAAGATATTTATGTGAAAACAGTCAGTCAACGCTCTACCGAAAGTCGTGGGTATTCTCGGGGAACTCCGGTTTCCTCCCACAGAGAATGTTGACAGGGTGGGTCAAGGATTTAGCGCCCTATAACGGACTCTTTCTAACGCCGTTAGAAAGCCTTGAACTGGATCAGATTTGAGTTGCGTCTTTCGCAATTCAGCTAGCTGTAGCTCTCAGCCGCAAGTATGAATGATTAGCACACCTCCGTGACACATTAGCGAAGCCAACCCGACAAATGACAAATGAAAGTAATTTGGGAAACAAATATCCATTCGTGTACGCAAGCCATTTTTTTCATTAAAAATTTAACCAGTCATGCGTGTCCGATAAGCGATAATATTTGCGGTCAAGCTGAAAAAAATACCGGTTCATTACGGTGACCTGTGACTAGAACTTAGTTCAAGGCCTGGTACAATATCCTAATACACTGACAGTGTATTGTTGTGGATAAATTTATAATTATTTATTATTAAATATAATTTTAAAATACTTACAGCAAGCAGATTTTGATATGTTGTTGGTGAACCTTCGGATGGACGCAGGTTTTGTCCGAGAAGGGATGAACATTAATTGGAAAGGAGAGGTGAGATTTAATTTGGTCACAGAATAGAGACAAACAGAAGGTCGACTTCTTGGTTTTTCCTATGATTTTGGCGTAATCGTAATTTGTCATCAAAATGCGGCTGACATGCCATAGTCCTAGCCAGTGCACTTATGAGAGGCATTCACCCTTTGGTAATATTCAAAATGGCGGACGTCCAGGGGGGTGAATGCCTCATAAGCGCACTGCCTAGGACCATGGCGTCAGCATTTTCATGACGAATCATTGCGAATCATGGCGTGGCAGTGGTTACGCTTTTTGGTTGAGTTGAGCTTCTGTGTGTCTTTATTCTGTGACTTGGTCCACCCACCTTCCTCTGTTGCAATTTTCACACCAAATAAGCTTGAGATAAAAATGGCTTTCCAGGAGAGAATGACCAACCCCAGTTGGTAAATTTTTGGAATATATAGTTTTGGAGAAAATTTATTTTTCACTTATGCGCTTTCTCGCTTTGTAGACGGGTTTGATCGACAACATTGAAGCTGTTATACAAGAGTACAAGCAAGCCAGAGGATTACAAGTAATGAAATATTTCTGTAAAACTTTGCATACCCTCACTTGACTTTTATGTACTATTTAAAAAACGAGCAGGAGTGTTTTATTAGGTTTAAAGCCACGAGCGCGCAGCGCGAGTGGCTTTAGACCTAATAAAACACGACCTGCGAGTTTTTTAAATGGCTTCAAAAACGTTTTGCATAATAAGTCAAATCTTTATATAAAAATCTTTATATAAAAATCTTTATATAAAAATCTTTATATATTTTGCATAACAATGGTCTTTTGTTAAAGCTTTCTTTAGCTGGTATAAAGACGTATGCACGTGACTAATTTCTTACTCAAGATTGGATAATTGCTTCTTGAATTATTAATGAGTTTTTGAAATATTTATACTAAATATACGTCTATTTATACTATTATTAGTTATTATTTGTCTGATTTATACTATTTTCTCATTGTTATCTTTAGCCAATCCGTGCGTGTGTGCTGGGTCCACCTTCATCTGGTAAAACTCTGGTGATCAGACAATTGTGTAAACGATATAAACTTCATCACATTTTGATTCAGGAGGTTATTGACGAAGCCATCACTAAAATGGTAAGTTAATCGTTTTAGGCATTAATTTAGCCTATAGCCCATATAATTATTACATCATCGGGGCGTTTGGGGAAAAAGTCACCTGGAGAATATCCAAGCAGGACATAGACCTAAGGAGAACGACTATGAATCTAATGTACCGTAGTTTGTCAGGGACGTAGCGAAGCTTTGAGGGATGTAGGGGTCAAATTATCTGATTTTTTTAAAATTACGTTTTGCGTTATACCTAAAAGCAGTGTTTGAAATTCAACGTGGTTTTCTCATGACTACACTCAAGTATCAGGGGTTTCTTTCGAAAGAATATATTAGAGTGATGGATACGGGGCTAAGTCTATCAGAGGATTTGTGGGGGGGATGCTCCCCAGAGAAAATTTTGAATATTTACACCCCCGGAAATGCAACTAACTTTAAACGTCCACGTTTGCCTGTCAATTCTCTCATCATTTACCTGAAAATCATCTCTAAATTTACCTGAAATTACTCATGAACAATTATTAGGGGTTACACCCGCCCTCCCCTCACACACACCGCAATTTGCGAATGCTACTTTGCCCGTCACCATGCTTATGCCCCCTCTTTCTTTGAAACTTGAGACCTCTCTGGCGCTCTAGATCCAATTCTTTGTGATATATTGTAGGAACAAAGTGCTGCGAGGGCAGACGCGGATGGTGATGAAGAAGATGACGTAAAAGCTGAAGAAGACAGAGAATTGTTAGACGCTCTAGCTGAAAATAAAGAACAGAATAATGGTAATAATGTCATTTTTTCACCGCTCTTACCTCACTTGACTTCCATGCTTATAACAGCCGCATTATCAGCAAGCGTACTTCATCACGAACAGCTATTTTTCCCTGCATCACGTTTATCATCAGAGAATGCTTTCACAATATCATCACATTCATTAGTGTCGTCAGGGCCGCCGAGAGGGGGCAGGCAAATTGCCCCAGGCCCCTAGAAATTTTTTGTTGGGCCCCAGTCATTTTTTGGGGTGAAATATTTCCGCGCAAAGGGCAAGACGGGTATGAAAAATTGAGGTAAAGTCGCTGGAAAGCAATTACAACGTACTCGTCGGAAAAATTTTGTCCCTAAAAAGTTGTCGACTTTGTAGTTGTTGAAAAATATTTTTTCCGGAAAAAAATTTGAAATATAAAAAAAAATTTGCCCCGGGCATCCACCAAGCTCTTGGCGGCCCTGAGTGTCGTTATCATCACAAGCATCATCATCAGAATCGTCACCTCTATCAAACATCATCACCGTGATAGTCCTCAATCACTATTATCTTGATCATCACTGTCATCATCGTATAACATTATCGTCTTCAAGAAATCATCTATCCAACTCCAAAAGTGTTGCCAAAAATGGTGACAGAATAACAATTTTGGAGTTGATTCACTTGAAATTTACAGTGTAGTGTTTAACACCGACTCGGTTCCCACAAACATTTTTTGCAAATCTTTCAAACTTAAAATTTACCTACCGTATACAAAATTTCTACTGTGATCATAGAAACTTTGATGATGTAAACCTGCCTTTACTCATGTATATTTGATTCATAATTTATATAGGCCGTTACGACGATAACTACATCATAAGGTTTTACAAGAATAGACTGCATTCGATGCCTTCTCAAAACCAGGTACACAATACTACATATACCAGATAAACTTACTGTACACCAAACACAGGGAAAAATGTCAAATCCATACTATGAAATTAGCATTTGCACCACTAAATCCATAGTGTATCCATACTATGTCGATACTATATTCATAGTATGGAAATATACAATTATTATGGATAATCAAAATCCATTCTATTTCCAATAAAGGCCCATACAATTTCCATTCTATGGCCGATTTTCAATTTTTTCCAGTGAAATATTCGGGATAAAATAAGTCAGACTTTTCCGTTTTTTCGTGCCCTGTACATATATCTGATCAGGCATGCTGCAATTTTAGGGATTCATTCTTGATGGTTTTCCAAAAACGTACGAAATGGCTCGAGAACTCTTTCAAGGTGAGATGACTGATTAACCCATTAATGCATTACGTCCTACTTTATTATTTTACTCTTTGTAAACACTAGATTATTTTACTCTATCTATCAGTATGTATTATTATTATGTCTTTCTTTGTTTGCTATAGCTGATGATGTTGAAGAGGAAGAAGACGGTGAACCTCCATTGAAATATAACAAGCAAATAATGCCTGGTAAGAAATGTGTACTTACTGTGGGACGAACCACTTTCCGGTGGACAGCGCTATCCTAGCGGCCTCTAAAAGGCCCACTAAGGAAAATTTTCCGCAGAAAGAAAATTTTGTAAAATGTGATTGGTCGACACAAATTTTGCGTCGGAAAAAAATTATGTAGTTGAAAATTTCCAACTTTTAACGATGATATTTTCGAAAAATTTTCTGTTCGTGGAAATTTTTCTTGAGTGGAATTGGGCCTTAAGAGATGCCTAATAACGTCAAATTTATTTGCCTATTTTAGAGATCGTCGTGTCTTTGGATGCTACAGATGATTTTCTTAAAGCAAGAGTCATGAATTTACCAGAATCTGTTGTTGCTGGAACACATAACACAGAGGATGGTAGGTTGATATTTAACAAATATAAAACATTTTCCGTGTTGATATACAGTTATATCAACACGAGTGGAAATTGGGAAAACGAGAAATTGTGTGGAAACACGACGCCCGAAGGGCGGAGTGTTTTCACAAAATTTCGAGTTTTCCCAATTTCCACGAGTGTTGATACTGTATAACTGTATATCAATACGGAAATGTTTTATATTTGTTTTATAATATAGCACAAAGAAACATAAAGAAAGAAATTTTCCGACGTTTCCGTGTTGACATTGAGCTATATCAACACGGCTCTTAGCCAATCAGCGTTCAGAATTTACAAATGCTATATTATAAATCAGTATATATAATATGTATGTTGTATGTATGTTTATGCTCTGTATTCTGTACTCTACTCAGTGTATTGAACTGCACTGTAGTATGTACTATGCTTTACTGTGCAGTATTTCACTGCATGTCTGGTGCGTTCACTATGCAGCTAACGACCGTATGCCATGGGCGGATTTACTGGGGGTTATGGGGTGTTTTACCCCCCTAGAATCTCTCTAACCCCTCTTATAAAGTGTTCAACCCAACCAAAATTTGTGTGAAAGTCTAACCTTAACGCCTAACCCCTGCCGAACCTCACTCGATCAGTTGTGCTGCTTGCACGTACCCACTAGAAATTTTGTCCACCCCTCCTTTAAAAAAAATGAAAATCCGCCCTTGCCGTATGCTGTTACCTCTTTCATTGCCATCAAATTCCTTTCAGGTCTTCTCAGACGTTTGGCAGAATTCCGTGCAGTGAACACAGAAGATGAAACTGTTCTTAATTATTTTGATGAACTGGAAATTCATCCCGATCATATCGGTATGACTAACAATTCTGTGCGTTGGCCGCTGTTTTCTGTTTAATATATTTGGAGTTTCGACCTGACTCCTTCAAAATCTTCAGATATTATTACACATCCGCTGATCGTATTTTACAGATATCACCCAAGATAGCAGTCCGTTGATGACAAATGTTGTTGAACAGATCGTAAAGCTGATTGGCGAACCAAGAAATTATGGTACACCCATGTTTAAATCCGAATTGAAATTTGTTGGGTTTTTTTCATTTCCATTTCCACTTTCTTCTTGTAGTGATAATGTAAACAGACTCGACTTAAAACTGCATGCCTATTATACTGACAATATTCATGCTTTCTAGGTCCTACTCCTGAAGAATTGATTGAAATTCAACGGATTGAGGCTGAGAAACAGGTACTCTAAATCATACCTAATTTCATGAAATTTTTATCACTGCATGTTCCATAACCAATATGGTGTCTCGGCGTTCGGTGACTACTGGTATAGTACCGCTTTAGTTTGGCTGAAAGTACAAATATGGCTGCCCACTAAAAGCAAACCATGACAAGAATGTTTATCGCACACAATTCTTTGAAAAACACTCGAATATTTTATTTACATGCATTTATGGAATATACACAATAAGGCCAAAATATCGGGTTTTGTTTGATTTACGAAAGACGAACTAATGCGAAAGCATTTGCCAAGAATGTTTTCATTAATCAAGAACGAAAGTTAGTAGCCCGCGTGCAGGCCCAGGGAAGAATAGAAAGTTAGAGGATCGAAGACGATCAGATACCGTAAACCATAAACGATTCTAACCATAAAAGATGCCGACTAGACAAAAATTTCATCACAGCTTGAAAGAGCATCACAAAATTAGTAATATTCCAAAGTTTCGATGCGAAATGTTGTAAAATGCGGATAATATAGCCTTGCGAAATTTGCAATTTTCTGTCATTTTGTATTACAAACGGGAAATTGATGCCCCAACACCCGATTGGGCTGTCAATTTTCCGTGCGTAATACAAAATGACGAACAACGGCAAACTTCGCAAGGCTATATTATCCGCATTTTACAACAATTTCGCAACGAAACTTTGGAATATTACTAATTTTGTGATGCTCTTTCAAGCTGTGATGAATTTTTTGTCCAGATCAAAATTTAGTCTATAATGCAAATGGTCCATTCATGAACGTTTGGAAGTTTGCTTTGGATTTTAGGTTAACCTATATATATGGTTTATCTAATCGGCTTTCGAACAATATGTCCCTGTGTGTCTATTTACCAAAACGTCAAGCCAAGTATAGATCTATAATCTCCAGTGTATAGATCTAATCACTGTCGTGAACATATTATGAAAGACCAAGCTTGCAACAATTTGATAATACTTGTACCTTCCGTGTATTTCATAGCTTGAAAAGGAACGAAGAGAAAAAGAGGAGAGAATTCGTAAAGAGGCAGAAGAGGCTACCGAACGGGCAAGGAATGAAGAGGAATGGGTATGAGTATTTAGTATTGTCATTTACTATCAACAAAACGTTGTTACGAAACTCTTGTGCCCTGCTGCCCCCCCCCCGCTGCGTACGGCCCTTTGTAGTCGAAATACTTATTATGATCGACGGGAAAAGTAGGGTTTCCAACCAGGGAAAGTCATCACTACCGATCACCATGATCAGGAACTTTGGGAACGTTATTTCAGGCCCTGGGTATAAACTTTCCGTCACCATTTGTAGAGAGTACGTCTAACGGAAGTAAAGAAAGAGGAACAGGAAGTACTGGAAACTCAATCCATCCCATTGAGGAATTATCTCATGAAACATGTCATGCCAACATTATCTCAAGGTCTTGTTGAATGTACCAAAATACGACCAGGTGATCCCGTTGATTTCTTGGTAAGTTTTCACCATCATTTAGTTAAATTTTTCTGGGTGCTTTTTTGTAAAAAGCGACTCCTCCCTCGAATAACCAATTTTCAGTGACCAGATTTGATAAAAAATAGTAATGAAATTTGTTTAGTAATGTTTTGGTAAATTTTTAAACATCTTTATTCGTTGCTTAAAATTCGTGTCTGAATGGTTTCTTGTGTAATACTGTTGAGGCGCTAACTCTAGCCTGCAAAACCCGCAAATTTCAAACATGGAATGTTACCGCAAACCGGGTGGGAGCGAAATTTGGTAAAATATTTCTCGATTTAGTAAATTTTGAACACAAAGTTGTAATTCACTGTCTATTTTATTGCATTGCATTGCATTGCAAATGATTTTAATCGGTCGTTCTTAATCACTGTTATTTTACTTCTTTTAGGCTGAATACCTTTTCAAAAACAATCCACAAATTGATTAAGTTCCAGTCGTTGTTTTGATGTTATTTACTTTGTAAGAAAATATTGTAACATAGAAATTTTTGTTAAAGTCTAATATTTAAATTGATTATCAAAAGGGTACAAGGTGTATATTGTCTCGTTTCTTTTTCTGCTTGATTCCGTTGTTATGGAAACGAAATGAACGCCAGTAGGCCAGTCTGCCCGCCCGATCATACACAACTGTAATAGTATAAAGTCACGTAACAGTCTGACAGATGTGAGATGGGTTAGTCGTTTAATACCAGCTGCCAAGAATTTCGTGAAAACGAAAACGTGACATCTTGACGTGCTAGCATTTCCCTGAATACGTGACATCTTGACGTGCTAGCATGTCCTGTGACCGGAACCTGGTCTAAAAGCGGCTTCAATATAAAAAAAAATTTACATCTCAAGCACCTCCATGTGCACGAGTCTACGAAAATGGCGGGAAAATGTCTACCAAATTAATGGAGTAAAAAACACGGGAAAAGCATTTATTATAAGGAAACGGAATTTTATCGCTGTTTCCTTTGTGATAAGAGGAAGTTACACTGACTTTAGTATTCTTTAGTTTTTACACTTTTTGCTAGTGGAGGGTTTCGTGAGGACAATACTCGATAGTATTTCCAATCTTTCGAACAGTCGATACGACTACGTTTGACCGCGGGTATTGTTATCTGTTAGAAAAGATGTTAGTGCATTGCTCATCGTCTAGTCTCTCAGTCTCTCATTGTTGTGTCAAAAATTCCCCTTGACATCTTGTGATAGTATATTAAAAATAGGCGCAAAGGTCACAATTTTCAAATGGTAAAATTATCGATTACGATTTTCTTAAGATTAAAACTACCACATGTTGGATAAAATTAGAGTAACAAATTAAAAAAGCAAAGTAAAGAGTGACTGAAACCATCCATAACATGGGCTCGAAGTCAGGACAGCACTCGATTGTTCAGAAGACCTTTAATGCACGTAACAATTAGCCAGCGTAGCCATAAAAAATCACCGTTCCCAAAAGTCGGCCTCAAATTTGTTAAAGTGTATATGACATGAAATTTCTTATTTTCTCTTTAAGCTGTAGTGTAACTTATTTTTCAGTTTCTTATTTTTATGGTTTGTTCCCGAGATATTTCAATTGGTTTGATATGTAAATGAGTGTGAATATGTCCGCTAATTTATGACGTCACATCGGTTGCAAGCTCTTCAAAATGGTTGAATTTCACTGCTATCATCCAAGATGATAATTTCAAACTTCACTGACTGGTAAATGTGATGAAACACTGTAGAAAAACGTGAACTGATATCCACAGTTTTTAGAGTTAATAGATTTATAACCAGTGTAAGTTGAGCTTGCAACCAATGTGACGTCATAAATTAGTGGACATATTCACACTCGTTCTGATATCAAACAAATTGAAATATCTCGGGAACAAGCCATAAAAACAAGAAACTGAAAAATAAGTTACACTACAGCTTAAAGACTTCTTTCATTTAAGAAAATAAAAAATTTCATGTCATATGTACTTTGGAAACTAGAAAAACGAGATGCTACGCCTCTCTTTTTTTTTGAGGGTCCTGAAGGGGGG